CCATTGTGGGACTATTAAAGGAATATCTTATCTTATCTTATAGACGATTCCTAAAACAAGAGGACACAACTATAAAGTAAAATAATACAAACATTTAAATTGTATTGCATTTTTCAGTATTCAGCTAACAAGGATTTCTCACAGTGGCTCCCCAAGCTGACATATCTGTATTAACATGTATATCCTGTACATAGTCGACTACTGCTGACCCCCTCACTGGATTTTCAAGCTTGCCTCTTCCCTGTCTTGTTTTTTTCCTGCAGTATTGATAACAGCCACATTTTTCTCCACTTTTGTTTCCAGTGTTTTGTGCCGGGATGGGATCTCCAACAAAACATGCGACACCGCACCGGTAAGATCGTACAGTCAACACGCAGGAGGACAGATATTGTTTTGGTTTCCCTGCACGATAAATGTTGCCGTAGCACTGAGAGTGAACATTGTTATACGGATGTAAAGCTTTTAAACTCTAATCTCCCTGAATGATGATGGGATTTTGTCGGTCTGGTCCCCCACTGTTACGGTCTTATCAAGTCTTATCCTACAAGAATCTGGTCTTACTCCTTAAGCGCCTGGCTAATCTGTCTCTTTTTAATGTCCTGCTGTTAGTAAGGTTTTCTGCAGGCGTGTACTGCACTTACACACATGTTATATGTTAAAAGATACAGCAGGGTTCATTATCCACATGTTTTTTTTTTTACTACAGAACCAACATCCGTACCCCCGGTCGAGAACCTGACTCCCCACTTCCCCCCATCCACGAGCGGCTGGCGTACTTGCGCCCCTCCAGGGAGCTGCTGGAGTTCTACAGACAGAAGATCGCCCAGTTTGACGGAGAACACGAGGAGCTGCTGCAGATGCTGGGGAAATACAAAGGCCTCAGCGATGACCAGGTGAGACACAGCTAGAAGCCGCATGAGACGTTGCTTTTCCAGTGTGTATTAGTAGAGTGTATTCGTTTGAACTTGTCTTCTTTTCCGTCGCGGATATCCTCCTAGCATAAGCTACAGTGGGAGGTGCGACAGCGTGACGGAGAGATCGCGGAGCTGCAAAACGCTCTGAGTGACATGCAGGTCTACCTTTTCCAAGAGAGAGAACAATCTCTGCGACTTTATGCAGAAAATGACCGATTAAAGATCAGGTGGGTGCACAGTTGGTGATTAAACCATAGTAATAGTACATGGTACAAACATACAGGTGTTTCACTTTTCCTGATAAGACAAGACTATGTGGGCACAAGTCAGAGTAAAGGAAAATACCTGTGTGATTGTGCAGGGCCTTTTAATATCTGTCTTTAGTATTTTCTTGCCGTTATTCTTCCAAGCACTTCTGTACATAAAACCATTTAACTATTCACTGTTGTACAGAGAGTTGGAGGACAGGAAGAAGATCCAGCACCTTCTGGCCCTGGTGGGTCCTGATGCAGGAGAAATCACATATATGCACCGGGAACCTCCGCACAAGGTACACACGTTTATTTCACCGTGGACCTTTCACACAGCGAACATTTTGTCATGTCAAACACACGACTTATAGCTCTAATTGCTGTTTAAGGTGTCGCCACAAAAGAGTTTAACATAAAGGTTTGCATGCATACCTTTCATGATATATTTCAGGTCACTATCACACAGAGGAGCGCTGAGTCCAGATTGGAAAATCAGGAAAATCTCAATCTCAGGCCAACAATGCTAAAACCTGCTGTGTCCAGAAAAGGTTTGACTTTTTAATTTTTGCAAAAGCCTTTTCTAACCGTAATAATATTTAAATGTTGTCTGCCATTGTGTGTGCCATTTTTTTATGTCATGTCTGTTTTTAAAGCAGAGAGTAGCAGGAGAACAAAATCAGCAGATGGAGTAAATGGAGAGAGCCTGGAACAATACAAGAGTGATAACCAGACATTGTTACTACAGGTTGGTCTTTCTGAATGCAGGAAATGGAATTTATGTTCCATTCTCTCTCATTACCACCATATTCATTTTTAATACTGGAACGTATAATGTAGGACTGAAAGTTTTCTTTTGTGGTTGATGTTTTCAGGTGGAGGCTCTGCAGGCTCAGCTGGAGGAACAAACCCGTCTGGCAAAAGAGCAGGTAGAGTCTCTCCTGGAGGATCGACGGATTAAAACAGAGGAGGCAAAGGCACAGCAGCACAGAGATCATGAGCGAATCACAGCTCTGACTGACAAGTGGGTCTCCATTTTCAGTTGTTCACTACTTCTGTCGGACCTACAGCTGAGACATGCTTTTTAAACATCCCTTTAATTTTGCTCACTTGTGAAAAATTGGAAATATCACTTTGAATGATAATGTCATACCTCAGGCTCCAGCGAACCCAGAACCTGCTGCATGAGAGCACCAGGGATTTCTTACAGCTAAAGTTCGAGTCGCGGGCTCATGAGAAGAGCTGGATGGTGGAGAAGGACCGACTGCTGAGGGAGCTGGACTCCTGTCACAACCGTCTGAGGAAGACTGGGTCAACCGGTGCCGAGCTGGGCCAAGCGTGGCAGCCCAGCAGCAGCACAGCCCTGCTTCTCCCCCGGCCTCAGCCAGAGTCACAGCAGACTCACAAGGAGGACTTAAAGGTAAAATTGATGTCATTTAATTAATTAATAATGTTTAAATTAGAATATCTATATATTTTAATTTTAATTAATATTTCTGCTGAAGTATCTGTTGTTTGAAATGTAAATAATAATATTGATGACCTTTTTCTTTAATATAAGAGTGTCAAAGGTCTTTTTACTTTTTTATTTACCTTATTTAAATGAATATATTTCATCAGGCAATGCAGGAGGAACTGAAGCAATCCCACCGTCTGGCAGAGATGTACAGGGAGCAGTGTATTACTCTGGAGACAGAACTGGCCCAAATCCGAGAAGAAGGCGATGTGGGCAGGGAAATATTTAAGGTACCTTGGTTGGACTGAAGGTCATATATGTAAAGTTTTCATACACACCTCTGGTCGATTGTTACATATTCTACGGTGATCCCCAAGTGTCTTGTAACTGATATTTTCGACTCTTTGAACCTTAATGCGTGCAGGACCGGTCGGATAAAATGGCCAAGCGTCTTCAGATGATGACTCAGCGTTACGAGGCGCTGGAGAAGAGGAGAGCCATGGAGGTGGAGGGCTTCAAGACGGACCTGAAGCACCTCAGACAGAAATTTAAAGATGTAGAAAAACAACTCCTGAAGGTAAAATTGTGTCTTGAAAATGATTTTTTTCAGTTTTGATCATAAAATCATGTAAAATAATTTCACAGTTGTCGCCTTCCATACTGCTGATATCATAGTTCAGTACATTTAAACGGTTTAACCTGATGTATACGTATCCACTGCTTCAGGCTACTCTGAATATTGGGCCTAACCAGGACATGGCCATCCTGCATGAGGTACGTCAGACCAACGCCAGGACGAAGAAGGTTCAGGGAGAGCTGATGACGCTGAAGGCGAAGATCTATGGACTTGAAAATGAGCTGCGATTCAGCTGAAGAATTCACTGTGATGTCTTGTGTCTGCCTATAGAGGATGATCTATGTGAAGTCTATGTCATGTATGTCTGTGCCACTGTGTTTATTATTGAAACTTAGAATCAATGTTATTTCTATTTTGTACTACTGGACTAATAAAGATGCTTTGCTGCAATGGTTTTTCAATTAAAGAACACCCACCCAGAAGCTTTTTCACAGCAGAAATGTTTGATTTGTCATAGTAGGAGAAGCACAAGTGTTACTTATAACACAAAGGCCTCAGTTTTATTCAGCTGTCCCAGTAAGACATGATAGTGAGTCAGCATGCAAAACCCTAAAACTGAAACAAAATGCTAAATTCAGCCAAAAACTTGTTTTCTTTTTAGAAATATTTCACTTTTAATTTCATTCAATTTAGTATTTATTTGTATTTGTATTTTTGCTCTCTCTTCAGTGTAGTATTTTGTATTTTTTTTTACATTTTACAGTTCATATTTTGCTTGTTTGTGTGTGTTTTTTTTCTCTCTCTGTTATTATTTAATTTTCACCTAAAAAGAGGGGGAAAGGACAGAAAAACTAACATATGTTAAAAAAGATAAGATTTAATTTACCCCACACTGGGGCAGTTTGCAAGTTACAGCAACTCAAGAAACAACACAACATAACACGAAAAGATAAAATAGAAGGTTGTAATAGACATAAAAGGAGCTACTACAAAATATATACTTTATATTTGAACATCACAAAATAAAGTATTAAATAATGTTTTTTTTTTTAAATAATGTTTCAAATATTTAAGTCACAACTTCCAAGCAAATAATTAGTGATTGATTCAGTTTCATTTCTGCAGAAATAAACTCCTCCCACTGTTTCCGGAGGGATAATGTGACGTACTAGTGTACTTATGAGGAAGTTCGTGTCGCGTTTGCGGCTCTGCGCATGCTCATTGATTGCCATTAGAGATTGTGTTTACTGAATGATGGCAGCTTCACTAACAGCATGAGGAGAGAGCCCGCAGTCGGAGTATTGACTCTCACTGTTTGAGATACCATGACCCACTTCTTCAGTCGTCACATTTTGCTTAGTGTGCAAGTTTACTGTCCGCTCAACTAAAGCTAGCTCGGCTCAGTGTTTGTTTTTTTGTTTTGTTTTTTATCACCGTTTGTTGTTTACCCGCCGGCTTTTTACGCACAAGTGCCCGGAGAAATGCAGAGAATAAGGTCTTTGAGAGCCGGTTGGCAGCTGCTGAGATCCAGCTGCGAGGGAGCTGCAAAACAAGTAAACAACTCGCCTTCGGCCTCTCGAAATTATAGCCATGTAAGTAGATGCTTCATTCAAACCTTATTTAAATTAACACAGAGGTGAATTGAGACAAAGTTAAGATGTCCTTTTTGTCTTTTAACAACTGGCTGATGTACTTGTTTCACATTTTAAAAGTTAAAGGGGAAATATATAGAAAGAAACCCAGTGAACACCATGCTGAAGCCAATCTCAGCACACACACACACACACACACACACACACACTGGTGATTAATATGGAGTACAGCACACATTTACAACCACAGTTATTACAATCGTATTCATTCAGTTCACTCATCTGTGAGTTATCTACTCCAATAAAAGTGTGGTGTGTAATTTATATATGTATATATATTGTGGGGAACAAAGTCTCTGCGAGTTAATGAACAACCCTATGTTTTCATACTGCACATGCCACCACAGCTCCCTCCTGAGGGCCCGAACTCCTTTGGACTCCTCTTTGACATCGATGGGGTGCTGGTGCGGGGCAGGACGCCGATCCCTGCAGCCAAGCAGATCTTCAGGAACCTGGTGGACGGCAATGGGAAATACAAGGTGCCCGTGGTGTTTGTCACCAATGCCGGGAACAGCTTGAGGCAGACCAAAGCTGAGCATCTGTCTCATCTGCTGGAGGTGGAGGTAAACTGAACATTTAACACCTTTCATACTGTTTAATGTCAGAGTTTTCCTCCTCTTATATCGGCATTTATCTGTGCACTCCCTTTATCTCAGGTGTCCCCAGACCAGGTGATGCTGTCCCACAGTCCTCTGCGAATGTTTACTCAGTTCCACAAAATGCGAGTTCTGGTGTCGGGACAGGGTCCGGTGGAGGAGGTCGCTCACAAGTATCCTGTCTTAAATCTGAGACTTTGGTTTCTGCCCTCCCTCTGGATGTTGACCTTTTAAAAGTGTGCATGTTCTGTTTATTCAGTGTATTTTTGTTCATGTCCCACTTTGTTATCAGTATTTAATCTTTGTACCCTTTGTTCCCTTGGCTGCCTGACTGTCTCAGCGAGGCCATTTCACAGATGTCTTGCTTTTTTTAAATTCGTCTTGAGGGATTTGAGGGCGTTTTGTCTTTTTCTCATGTGTGGTTTGTCATTAATCCAAGTGAATATGTGGATATTTAAAGCCTTGGACTTTAATCTCTTACTTTCTTTACTCCACAAGTCTCTAAACAACTAAAATAGTGGTTAATACCTTCCTAATATATAAAGAAGTATAGTAATTCATACCTCAGTTGCAAGCCGGTAGTGTCTGGTATCTTCTGTTTGATCTTATGTGTGTTGTAACTCTTGCTCACCTGTGTTTGACTTTAACCTACCAAACTTCAGCCTGGGCTTTCAGGATGTTGTTACCATAGATATGCTCAGAGAGGCGTATCCTCTCCTAGATGTCGTAGATCACAACAGAAGGCCCAAAGACAGTGTAAGTAGTATTAATATTAAAGCCACTGTATGTTTACTTACAGAATAATTAGACATCTTATCAATTGTGTATAATGTCTTACAGATTCCACCCTCCAAAGGCTTACGTCCAATAGATGGTATGTTTCCACATACAGTCCGAGTCTATAATAAACACATGTATGGCCGTCTTTATAGTATTTCCTTCTTCACCTGTTTGCTCCAACAGCTGTCATCTTATTTGGTGAGCCAATCAGATGGGAGACCAACCTCCAGCTAATCGTTGACGTGCTCCTGACCAATGGGAACCCAGACAATGCCTGGAGTTCGATGCAGTACCCTCACATCCCGGTCATGGCCTGTAACATGGACCTGCTGTGGATGGCCGAGGCGAAGAATCCCAGGTGCGGTATGCGTGTGTCACACATTAGTTTGTAATTCACACACTGAGAGATATTATTAAACGCAGTGTTATTGTACTAAATGTTCCTGTCTCATAGGTTTGGACACGGTATGTTCCTGGTGTGCTTGGAGAGCTTGTACAAGAAGGTCACAGGCTACGAGCTGAAGTACGAGGCTCTGATTGGTAAACCCAGCGTGGTGACTTATAACTATGCTGAGCTGCTGATTAGACAACAGGCGGAGAAACTTGGCTGGACCTCACCTGTGAAGACACTGTATGCTATTGGGTGAGTGACTCAGTCATCTCTTGACTTCAGACCCACATTTGACACTTAAAGGTCAGGGTGTAACATTTAAGAGGATCTGTTGGCAGAAATGAAATATGAATACTTCATAGGTTTGTTTTCATCAGGGTATAATCATTTGAAAATAAGAATCGTTATGTTTTTGTTACCGTAGAAGTTTTTATCTACAGAGGGAGTTCTTCTACAGAGGCCTACATGTTGAATTGCCATGTTTCTACAGTAGCCCAGAACGGACAAACCAAACAATGGTTCTAGATAGGGCCTTTTGCACTTTTGCAGCCACTGTAGTTTCTGCTTTGAACTTAGTTTGGTCAAGGGGTTTTTGTTTGGTTGCAATCTGCAGTCTCACCACCAGATGTCACTAAATCCTACTCACTGGTCCTTTAAGCTCCCTCATGACAGTTGCCTTTGATTTTGATTTTATTTATACAAAAAAAAAATGCCATGAAATCCCCATTAATCCAAAATCAGCCCACAGAATCCTGGAGGAACTGTTTAAGAATCATGCTGTTAATCATTCTATCTAACACAAAAGCTTTGCCATGTGTTGTCAATCCATCTCTTTTTTTTTTAGTGACAACCCCATGGCTGACATATACGGCGCCAACCTCTACAACCGCTACCTCCAGGCCTCTCACCGTACCAAGGCCCAGATGCAGGCTAAGAGTGGCGGAGGAGGTGCAGATGCCTTGGCGGAAACGATTGATGACACCCTGAAAATGACATCAGCCGAACTAGGCGGAGCGTCAAGCGTGTTCGGGGAAGAGGAGGACCTTCCCGAGGGATGCAGATCCATCCTGGTGTGCACAGGAGTGTACAGCAGGGACCAGCAGGAGCTGCCCTCAGACCCATCGCACACTGTCACGGAGCAGCAAATCTTCCACGGTCACAGGGACTTCCGCTTTGACCCCAGCCTCACGCAGCCGTCCTTCGTGGTGCAGGATGTAAAGGAGGCAGTGGAGATGGTGTTTCAGGAGGAAGGCTGGCCTCTGGACTAGGATGAGTGTCACCTTATCTCACAGCCGTCCAGTAAAGAGCTCTAACATCCTTTAACTGGTAGTAGTAGACATTTTATGGGTTTTGTTTTAATAATCGATACCCCTGATTATTACAGGGGAGACGTAGCTGTTACTGTGGCTAAGTCTTAGAGCTTTTAAGTGCCATGCAATAAGCTGCAAAAAGCAACAATATGAAGTTTAACGCCAAGTATAGGAAAGTTACACACATTTTAAGTCGGTCATACGTGGTAGTTTTTTAACTCAATACTAAGTTACTGTTGATGTGATGGGCCTAACTAATGTGTGTGTATATATATATGTCAAGGACTCCAGTTCATCAAGTTGGCTGTGTGTCCTTTCTTGTCTTGGCTGTCACTTTTTTTAAGAAGAACTCAAGTGTATCTGTTGAGTTACATGCATTTTTACTACACTCAGACTTTTATAAATGATCTGTTCAAGTTCATGGATGAGAGTTCAAACATAGCAACACTTTCAGCCAGATAATGTCATCTGTGATGTGACAAACAACGTATTGTCCAGATTTTATACTTTGCACAACACTCTACAGAAGTGGGTCATCTTTCCTTTCCAAAATATACACCCTCCCCAGCAGGTCTTAACTAGACCAGTTCTGCTGTTTGTTTTTACTGCTATCATATTTCAGCTTGATTTGTTCTTAAACTAGGGTGAATGCATAACCACTAATGCTGATGAGATTAAGTTGCCAGGTTTCAGTTTAGTACCTCATGAGTTTCGATTTTAGCCTTTAATTCAGAGTATGTTCATTTTATTTTAGTGCTATTTTGTGAAATTATCAGAATTATACAAAGTACCACAGAAATGAAAAAGGTGCTATTTTTCTGCAAAGTGGTTTTAGTTATAAAAATCTTATGAATGGTTCATGTGAATGTCTGTATTCAAGGACTTTTGTGGGAGAAAAAATAAAGTATAGTTGCAGCACCAGTAAAAATGTCATAACGTGCTGGTTATATTTGTAACTGACAGGTATAACAGGGTGTCATATGCAGGTGTCTAATTGCAGATTAAAACTATGGAACTCTGGAAATGTACCGTGAAAGCCATACTGCATGAAAGAACAATTAAAAAGGATGAGAGACACAAGCAGAGGTGTGGTTCGTAATGCTCGAGTCATTATCACATTCAACAGCACTTAACCTCACAAGAATATTACAAAATACATTTTACAAGCAACCGCCATTTAAAACCTGTGTTACTGATACTACTAACTGTATAAATATTAAAGGTCAAAACATATACAAAACATACATCCACACACACACACACACACACAATTCCACATACTCTATGTAGTTTCCCATAAAACAAAGCTTCTGTAAATAGCCTTCCTTCCTAGAGAAACTTTTCAATCACACGTCAGGTTGCCACCACCGGTTTTCAAACAAGCCTTAAACATCACCACTCAGCACCCACACTTCTTATCTGAAGACAGGGTGCCATAGACTGGGTGGGAGCTGTTATTGATCATGAACTGAAGCGAGTCTTGAGGGGCCTCGTCTGTGATGGTCATGCCGTTGCGTGCTAGCAGCTCCCGGGCCATGAGGATGAAGGCTGCGTCCACGTTCTGGGCCTCCTTGGCTGAGGTTTCCAGAGCAGCCAGCACGCTGTTGTTTTCTGCCAGAGTGCACGCATCCTCGAACAACACCTGCCTCTGAGCGTGGAGGTCTGATTTATTACCTGCAGTGACGAACAGAACAGGAAGTGTTGAAAACAAAAAGTGGAGCAGATATCTGACAGCTATCATGTTAGTTAGAGCTAAATGCTGAGCACCTGGCAGGTAACACGATCAAAGGAGCAAATCACCAAAGGCACAATTTAAAAAAAGTGCTTCCATTAAAAATTATTTTTATTATCAGTATCTGACGTTATTTTGTCTGTAAATGTCAGACAATTGTGAAAAATGCCACAATGTCACAAGTTGCCAGAGCTCAATATTCATAATCCTTGTTTCCTTCGCCAGCAGTACAAACCCTAAAGTATTCCATTTACTATTATATATGACAAAGAAAAGCATGAAATCCTCACATTCAAGGAGCTAGAAACCAGATAACACATCAGCATTTCTGTTTGAAAAATTACATAAATTACTAACTTATTTATAACAAATTTTCTAACAGAGAAATGCAGCAAAACTTCACTCTGGAGAATTGGAGTTATTGGTTAATGAAATACTTAAACAGTTAATAGATAAACAAAAGAAAGTACAGGGCGGTAGTAGCTCAGTGTGTAGGGACTTGGCTTGGGAACCGGAGGGTCGCCACAATATGGAGTGTGGACTGG